TCAATAGTGATTAATAATCCTCTACTCACCTTTTGGCCTCGTCGCCTTTCTGACAGGTCTTATGAGCTCCTTGCAAAGAGTCTTCTTTCATTGTACTACTTTCTTTTGGAACGTTGAATTCTTGTGAGACACTTTTTTAATATACAAAACTACAATAAAAAACAAAATTAGTGCTTTGAAAGATAGTTTAAGGTTATGTTTGGGGCAGCTGCAGCTTCTCAGATTTCAGTTATAGTTGCACTGTCCCAGGAAGTTGTTGCCGGGAAAATACTCTGGTGAAGCTGACTGCATGTTTGTTGCAGCTGTATGAAAATAGCTATGGGGCAGCAATTTTTTTGGAAAAATGATCATTCCGCCCCTGTTTAGTAAAGTTGTTTAAAACAAAACTGTGACGGTCACATATTTGATACTTCAGAAGTAGAAATTTATTTCAAAACAGAACAAAAGTTCAAATACACAACTCACTTAATAGTGAGTACTGAAAGTGCTAAATGAAAATAAAAAAGCAAATAAAATTACAAGTAAAATAAGAAATTAATAATGTATAGTTTCATGTAATTTCTTTCTTATTATAATAATGCCTATTATGATGTCCAAAATAATATATATATATATATATATATATATATATAAGAGACTAAATTAATATAGTTCATTAACTGCTATTACAATATTTTTTTAATTTGTTTTTTGGTTTACTTTAGTTTATTTTTCATTTTAAGAATAGTAAATTAAATGATTAATTATTTCTCTCATATTTCTATATCATATTACAAAATATATACATAAATATTAAATAAATAATATTAACATTACATTCCAAGTAAAACAACTTAAATAAAAATACCTTAACCATACCAGGCTCAGTACGACAACTAGATTGGCTCTCTTGCTCGAAGCTTCTTCAATGAGTGAAGCTCGTCCCTTCCTCCTCGTGCACCGATGTAGTCTCTCAGTTCACCCTTCTTGTCTGCACTTCTCGAAGACTCATTTGGATTCAATCACAAGCTTTATTGTCTACGCCGAACTCTAACACCTCATGTCCTCTGTTCGACGATCACAAACTTCTTCACATTCAACTCATCCCAAGAAGGAGAGTATTCCTCTTCATTCATATTTTTCTTCTTCCTCACCTCGCCTTGCCTCCGCCTCACTCACTTTGCCTCTCGTTCACGATAACACGGGGCCACAGGGTCGATAACACGGAGCCACAGGGACGATCTCGTGGCCAGCAGCTGGCGTCCGCGAACGTAGCATCCAAAAGAAAATTTTTTTTATCAACTTTACAGTTTGGAGCCGCGCAGCGCGAATTACGCCCCAAACGGAGCCTAATCTTCTTGTACTGGCAGTGGTTTAAACTACTTGAATGTTGGTTTAAACCATGTAGATATAAGTGGTTATTGCTAGAAATGATAGATGAGACGATTGGTGAAAGGTACTATTGTATTGATCAGAAACATCTAATTGTTATCTGGGTTTTCGCATCATTTTGACAATTTATACATATTATGGGCATTGTATTCCTGTGATGAATTTGTACAAAAAATTGTGGATATAACTGAAATTCTTTCGTATGTTTTCTGGTATAAAAATTGTAAAAAAATAATTATAAAATATTTGTAATGCTGCCTTTTTAGGCTAGTTCTACTATCAGCATCAGTCACAAATAGGGGTGCGAATAAGTCAAGCTTGAGCGAGCCCAAGCTTTGTTTGTGTTCGGCTAGTTAAAAAATATCAATGTTCATTTTTTGTGCTTTTATATATTGGGCTCAAAAAATACATTCGTGTTTGGAGCCGAACGAGAGCTGTTCGAGAACGAGTCATTTTGATAAACTTAGGAACACAATCTTAGGAATGTTAGAAGTATGTGCGAAATTTAAATCTTAATGTTTAAATTAAGATATTCATTTGAGTATAATTTAGTATATATTTATTTTACTTTTTAATTAATAATTATAATTAGTTATAAATCTCAGTACCCTTGGAGTCAATTAAGTTATTTAAAAATAATACTAATCAATGAATCATATATATATATATATATATATGATACACCAATAACAAATTTTTAACATCCGACGCGAATATCGAGGCATGACACGAATCTCAAGGCAATTTTTTGAGCAAGAAATATTCAAACTTCAATTAAAAGCCACCAGATCTCCGATTTCACCAAACTTATAGTCAAACTGACCGACTCAATAAGACGGACCTAATGATATCAAAATTAGTTCAATATGAGTCAAATCAAGCCCATATCAAGTGATTAAATCATTTTTGTAAAATTTTTGGACACATTTGGAAGATCAAACAAATGTCGAATTCAGCGAGTTCATACTTATATCGAGCGTCTCGACAAGGTGAATCCAACGAGCCCAAGATTGCTCAAGTCCGACATCGTTAAAGCACTCAAATGTCTATCAAACATCATCTGATCGAGGGAAGTTCTCTAAACCGTTCGATTAAAATGGTTCATATTCTTGCATTAATTGCAACCAAAACACTATAAATAGAGTCTTACTCCTCACATGAGGGGGAGGCTTGAGAGAGAACTTGAGATTTTTAGAAGGAGTTCAAGTCCAGCATCATCACTACCATCGTCAATCGTCGTCGACCACCACCGACCGTCAACGACCACCGACGACCTCTGTCGACCACCGTCGCCCACCGTTGAACACCGTCAATCACCGCAGCCGACCATCGTCCGTTGTCAACCACCGCAGACCTTCAACGACCACCGCTCAACTGCTGTTAACCTCCGTCATCAATCGTCGACCACCGAACGTCGTCGACCGCCGCTGACCTCTGTAGACCACCACCGACCGTCATCGATTGTCGTTGACTGTCGTCGATCACCTCAGACCTCCGTCGATCACCGCCAACTAGACGTCATTAGCTGACGCTGTACCATAGAAAATCTAGTAATCATTTCTCGTATGTGGGACAAAGGGTCTCTGTAATCGTCAACTTATAGTGGATTTTTATAACTGGGCCACACTCCGTGGTGTTTTCCTTTTACGAGTTTTCCACGTAAAAACTTTTGATGTCATCCCAAGTTGAATCATTTTCATTTGAATGTGTGTTAAATTCTCGCACAACGCTAAGACGATAATCCATCACTCTACCGCCGTGAATTTTCTAGCACGCAATACGAGCCCCGACCATTTTTCATGCGCCTATAATTTGAGTACCACACCTTACACTCGGGGGGAATCGAACTCTAGACCTGATGGGACTTACAGTAAAACCTGCCAACTTGCAGGTGATGGCTTGCGACACACACACACACACACACACACTATAAAAATAAATAAATAAATAAATAAAAAACTAAAGTTTAACACAATATAAAAGGAATTGTCAGAAGCTATTATAAGAGCCCAACCATCTCTCATGTGTCTAGCAATTAAAGTACCACACCCCACACTTGGAAATATCGAACCATCAAAGGGGACTTACAACTCACAAACAAATGTCCGACCAACTGATTTAAGTACGTGGTGTGTGTATATATATATATATATATATATAACATAAAAAATTTGATCGTACTTGACTGATTTTCTTAACGAACGAATCAAAAAAAGACAATTTAAAGAGCCGAACAAGAGTTTTTCATGAACAAGCAACAGCCACAGCCGCCAAAAAAATAATTTTTTTCCAACACAATTTTACGTCAAAATCCTGACTTCCCATGTTGCACAGTATTTAATGCCAATTGATCGAGAATTTTCCCACCTTTAAAGGATCCTTTTATTTCTTTCCATTCAGAAACACAATTTACGAAACATTGATTGGTCCATCAAGCGAATTAATGAACAATATCCAGATCAAAACAACGATACAGAATGAGATAATGTTTCTTACACGCATATTATCATTAAAAAAATATTTCATATGATGAAGATGCAATCATCATTAAAATATATAGGAAGCCAGGCCTTATTATGCACGCCATTAATGTTCAGCTAGATATTCCTTATTAATGCTGCATTACACACGATTCCTCATCTAAATACATAGAAGGCAGCGTATATACAGCCGGCGCCGGTTTCCTAATACGGCAGACATGAGGAGTAATTTCTTGTATCTTTAATTGATTCACTAATCCTTAATTACACCATAATTACACCATAATTACTGTTTTTCAAACCTCACCCTCCATGAAAATCTGGTTATAAAATGGACCAACCCCTGCATGCGTTTCTTCCGATATTTCTCCACCGAGCTTCTCTGTCTCCCATACAAGGCATGATTTTTCCTTTTTCTTTTCCATTTTTTTTCTCAGTTTTGTTCTTCTATCTGCGGTTGTAGATTCTGTATGGTAGCATGATGTTAATAGGATTTAGCAATGAATTTTAACTTATATCCAATCAAATATGAAAAACTAAACTAAACATTGATTTTAAAGCTCAGTTAGATCAAATTTTCTCGAGTTCTGTATGTTTTTTTCTCACATTTTGTTTTTTTACGAGACAAACTTATGACCCGTTTGAGACAGTTTATTTGGTGTTGTGGCGTTTTGAAAGGGCAATTGGGTTGTTTGGGTAAACTGCGTTTTGGCAGCTTATGCGTTTTCAAAACGCTGAAAATGGAGTTTTCATGTCGCGCCTATTTAGGTGCGGTGACAGCTTTCTTGCAGCAGTCTGGTGTTTGTAAAAAAAAAATAAAAATTTATAATAGTCACCGCATCTAGCTTATCAGCAAATTATTCAATAAGCTACAGCTGCCCCAAACAGATAATTAGTCCATCAACGCTTGCAAACTCTGCCGTTGAAAATAAATATGAATTTATCATATTTGATAAATCCTATTTGAAGCCAAACGCCAGCTTAGTTTATGATTGTTGTTTCTTGAATTGTTTATGCTGGTTGATGGGTATTATTCATCATAATATCGCCAATTCATTCATATGAATATTGTACATAATATTTGCTTATAACATGTTGTTATAATCATCATTTTATGATTGTTTATTTTTTTGATTTGTTTAGATGATGATGGTGAGGAAGAAGAGGCAGAGCATGGGGAGGCAGAAGATTGCGATGAAGAGGATAGAGAACGAGGAGGCGAGACAGGTGTGTTTTTCAAAGCGGAGGGCGGGGTTGTTCAAGAAGGCCACGGAGCTGTCCATACTGTGCGGGGCGGAAATTGGAATAGTGGTGTTTTCACCGGCCGGCAAGCCGTTCTCATTTGGCCACCCGTCGCTGGACTACATAACGAGACGGTTCGTCGGCGGAGGGCCGGCGGTGGTGGGGCAGTTGTGTGGGAGCTTCGTTGAGGGTGAGAAGTTGCAGCTTCTCAACCAAGAGCATGCGGGTAAGCAGGAATTTGTTAAATAAGTAAAATTATTTTTATTTGAATCAATTTTATTATTTTAAAATATGTTTTAGCTTTAGTTTTGCTATAAATTTTCGTGTAAAAATCCAAACGCAGTTTCAGATAAGCTGGCGAAGCGCGCGAACCAAACGATACGATGATGTTTTGAAAACACCGCCCGCACTTATAAGCTGCACCAAACGGACCCTAAGTTATAGTATTGCTATAAATATTTCATATAGCCTTATGTTGATTTATCATTTTTATTATTTTTAATATTGATGAGTTTAGCTTTTTAGAGTCTTTGAGGCTATTTGGGATCACTTACAATTTTTTTATTTTTATTTTTTTAATTTATTTTGATTTGTTATATTCTATTTTGAATGAAATATATTTGATATATTATAGCATATTTAGTTATTTTTAAAAAATATTCAAAACAATTTTCAGATATTAATTTATATTAAAAATTAAAAATATATATATGTAAAAAATTAATACATGAACATATTTTTGAAATAAAAAGAAAAAATAAAAATAAAATGATCCCATACAACAAACTCTTGACTACAAGCGTATAATTTCTAAAATCCTTAACAATTCAACTATATGACACATACATTACATATCTATGGATACACACACACATACATTACATATCTATGGATATATATATATGTATATATATATCATTACACACACACATACATAGATATAAATATATATGTTTGAATATATGTATGTGTGCATGTGTGTATATATATATACACACATGCACACATACATATATTCAAACATATATATTTATATCTATGTATGTGTGTGTGTAATGATATATATATACATATATATACATATATATGTATGTATGTATGTACACATACACACACAAATGAATGTTTGCCACTCAAATCTTATGTATTTACATGTCTAACACCTAAACTTTAATTTTTGCATATATTCCCTTTATACATGTATGAAAAAAAATGTATATTTCATTTTTTTAAGTTAAAATAGTGATATTTTTTTTATGTAATATGAATTATTTGGATAGTACAAAACTATAAAAAGTTAGGCATTAGACATGTAACTAGGGATGACATGTATATAAATAATATAAACTAAACTTTAAATGGAGTTACATCTGATTAAACTTAATTATTATTATAAAATCATTTTATATTTTGAATATAATTGAATAAAAAATGAGACAAAACATGAACTCCATGCAGGGCTGATGGAGAAGTTAGAGGAGGCGAGGAGGATAAGGGCAGAGCTGGAGGCGGACATTGCAGCCCAGCCGGTCGGGCCGGGCCTACCGTGCGACGTGGAGGTACATGAAATGAGTTTAGAGGAGCTAGACAGCTTCCAGAAGGCCCTAGAAGAGCTGAGACGGAAGGTTACGAACAGGCGCGAGGAGCTCGATATTCAATCCATGGATACAAAAATGATAAGGCCCATCGTTCCGCCGCGATTGGGCTACGGAGGTGGTTATTTGGGCGGGTATAATGGGCTGTATTTGACGTCGGGTCCGGCCGGCGGGTTTTATAGGCATAGGCCGGATTTGACCGTTGGATTTCCGGTCTGGCGATAAGTAGATTACTTGAATAATTATGGTTTTTGTTTTTCATACAATATATTTCTTTTATTGATAAAATATTTTATTTATTTGCTTTGCTTGCTTTTTGCGATTAAGAATAATGGAGGATGACTGAGTATTGATGAAAATCTGCTGAGCAGTACAATTATTATATATATTACACTTCTCGAAGGAAGAAGGTTGGGGGCACACTCCAACTTGAAAACTTAATGGATGATACTTTGGTTACTCCTGACAATAAATAAATATATATATATATATATATGCATGCATATCACTTTCATCTTAAACGTCACATTAAAAATATTATTATTACCTATGAAGCACGTATACGTCAAATCAAGTGTCAGATTCTTGTCATATATGTGCACGACTGACATGGGCTACTAAATGTTTGACATAGTATACATCATGTCGAAGTCTTATATTGAGTTCAACCAAGCCCAAAGCATGGCTTAGCATTGTTTAACGCCACTCCACATGATATTGACCGGGATGCAGGACATGGGATCTTAATTACGCACTTTGCTTTGCCCTACATTTAAGCAGAAGCCCAAGAGACAACCCAAAATCAAGTGACAACCTTCTCAAGCAATCCTTGGTACTTTGCTGGCATTCTGGAGCAGTCCTTGGTATATTGTCGTCCAATTGTGAGCAGTTATCGACCACCTGATTGTTAAATAGATTGAAGCAAGCCCCTCATTGAGAGGCCCTGAGCGAACCGATCCCTTCATTGATGCGATCCAGAGGTTCATTCCTAATATTTCACACTCTGACACTGTGAGTCACATTAATTAAATTTCTAAAAGAAATTACTAAAAGTGTAATTTTTACAATAAATGATCAATTTTTTTTGAATAACTAAATAAATATTTTATATTGATTATTTAAATGATTTATACTTCATCGATGAAGTAAAACTCTTGATCTATGTAGTCGGATTTGCATATTCAATGAATTCGGATGAATTTTTTTGTACATATTGGATTCTATAAAGACTTGACCTATATTCTTTGTATCCTAACATGCATTCAATGTACGTTAAATAATATATATTAAAAATATTATGTTTCATGTTTTTTGTACGCACTTATTCTTTTCTATCAGATATAGAATTTATGTGAGATCTTTGAAATATTCATGTTTTTTTTAAGAATTGTTCACTGACATATAACTTCTTTTTCAATTAAACAAATTTAATTATAATTAGTATTGTTCACTCGTGATATATCACCAATAAACATGAATCTCGATGTATGACACAAATTTCAATACATTCAAAGTTCGTTAAATAATATATATTTAAAATATCGTGTTTCATGTTCTTTGTATGCACTTTATTCTTTTCTATGAAACTGAAGAATTTATGTGAGACCTTTGAAATGTCATTCATGTATTTTTTTTAAAGTTTTTCAGTAACATATAACTTCTTTTTCAATTAAACAAATTTAATTATAATTAGTATTTTTGACCCATGATATATCACCAATAAAAACACGAATCTCGATGTATGACATGAATTTCAATACATTAAAAGTTCGTTAAATAATATATATTAAAAATTATGTGGCTCAAGTTCTTTGTACAAATTTTATTCTTTTTTATCAAACTAAGGGTTTGTTTGGGGCAACTGCAGCTTCTCAATTTTTCAACTGTAGCCGCACTGCCTCATGAAGCAGCTGCGGGTAGGGGTGTAAACGAACCGAACACGAACGAACAAAGCTTGTGTTCGTGTTCGGTTCGTTTAAAATTTAGTTTGTTTGAAATAAGCTCGTGTTCGTTTCTTAACGAACGAGTCGAACACGAACCGAACATGAGCTGTTCGCGAACGACGAGCCAGTTTGACATCCCTAATATTAATATATAAAAATAATATTATATATTAATTATATAACTTATATTATATAAATATTCAATATCTATATTAGTATATTACTACTATAGTATATTAATATATTATTATTATTATTTTATTATATATTATAATTTATAAAATTTAATGTTTTAAAATATAATAATTTTTTTATATATAATTATTTTATATTATTTTATATTTCAAACAATAACGATTCGAACACAAACGAACGCATCACTGTTCATGTTTGGTTCGTTTAACTAACCGAACGAAAAAAAATTTGTTCGTGTTTGTCTCGTTTACTTATCGAACGAATCGAACACGAACTCATTGACGATCTGAACATGAACTGTTCGCGAACAACGAGCTTTTTTGACAGCCCTAGCTGCGGGGACGTTGGTTGTCTTTTTGTTACAACTAGGGGTGTAAACGAACCGAACACGAACGAACAAAGCTTGTGTTCATGTTCGATTCGTTTAAAATTTAGTTTGTTTGAAATAAGCTCGTGTTCGTTTCTTAACGAACGAGCCGAACACGAACCGAACACGAACCAAAAACGTGCCGTTCGCGATAAAAATAATATTATATATTAATTATATAACATATTATATAAATATACAATATTTATATTAGTATATTACTACTATAGTATATTAATATCTTATTATTATTAATTTATTATATATTATAATTTATAAAATTTAATGTTTTAAAAAATATATATAATTATTTTAAATTATTTTATATTTCAAACAATAACGATTCGAACACGAACGAACGTATCACTGTTCGTGTTTGGTTCATTTAACAAACCGAACGAAAAAAATTTGTTCGCGTTCATCTCGTTTACTTATCGAACGAATCGAACACGAACTCATTGACGAACCGAACACGAATTGTTCGCGAACAACGAGCTTTTTTGACAGCCCTAGTTACAACTGTGTAAAAATTGGACAGTTGTTTCTGAAAAAATAATCATTTTATCATTTTTTATCATTTTTTATTAAATCTGTTTAAAATAGAACTGTGACATGCAATTGTCTCATTCTGCCCTTATTTATTAAATCTGCTTAAAATAGAACTGTGACATGCAATTGTCTCATTGTGAAATTTAGAGGGTAAGTAAATAAGTCAATGTTGAACTTGGATTTTAGCTTTTCAGTATTAAAAAAAAAGAATGCAAAACCATGGCCAAGTTGGAAGGCATTCTTACTGGATAACGTTTATTTAAATTTTTATATGCCCATAATTAAGAAAAGCATATGAATAGCTATTCATCAAGTTGTATTAAAATTCTTTCTATGTAAGGCATGGTGCAACTACTAATTGAAATGACAAAGTATTTCTTCTACATTCCAGTGTTGCTTGAACATGAAAGTTGCTAAAATTATTTGCATCTTTCACTTTCTTTGTGACATCTTCATCGCACGATCTTCTGGCAAACCGTACTTCAAATATTGCCCGAAAACCTCGCCGAATCACTAGATTAGGCAGAGCAGCTCCGGTTTCGGCATCTCTGCCTGGTTTTCTTGGGGGAAAGTTCAAGGGAGCGAACACGGGTTAAGGGACGGGGAAGCGGTCCTTGGATTCAGTTGGTTTGATCAATTGACTAGAGCCAGAGATGATGAGGTTCTCTGATTCGGAGTAGCGGGGAAAGATGAGATGCTCAGAGAGGTCAAGAGCAGTCGGGTAATACTTATGTGAGCGAACGCAGGCTGCGGGGTCAATCTCGTGGCCCGCGTTTTCGTAAAAATGTGAAAAATTCTGTCGAGATGTGCTGCAACTGCCGCCCTAAATGACACAGAATTGTGTCTACGTATCGTGTTTCGCCTCTGCCCCTACCTTAAACGGGCCCTAAAGAATTTATGTGAGATCTTTGAAATGTCCTTCATATATATTTTAAAAGTTTTTCACTAATATATAATTTTTTATGAGAGATCTTTGAAATGTCATTCATGTATTTTCTAAAAGTTTTTCACTAATATATAACTTCTTTTTCATGTCAGTTGTGTTTTATTCTTTTCTATCAGACTAAAGAATTAACGTAAGATCTTTGAAATGTCATTCATATATTTTTAAAAGTTTTTCACTAATATATAACTTCTTTTTAAAAAAAACACAAATATCAATGTATGACATGAATCTCAATGCATTCGAAGTTCGTTAAATAATATATATTAAAAATAATGTAGCTCATGTTATTCGTACGAACTTTATTTTTTTTCTATTAGACTAAAGAATTTATGTGAGATCTTTGAAATGTCCTTCATATATTTTTTAAAAGTTTTTCACTAATATATAACTTTTTTTAATTAAATAAATTTAATTATAATTATTATTGTTGACTAGTGATATATCGCCAATAAACACAAACCTCGATATATGACACGAACTTAATGCATTCAAAGTTCGTTAAATAATATATATTAAAAATACTGTGGTTCATATTCTTTGTACGTAATTTATTCTTTTCTATGAGATCGAAGAATTTGTGTGAGATCTTTGAAATGTTCTTCTGTATTTTCTTAAGAGTTTTTAACTAATATATAACTTCTTTTTCAATTAATCAAATTTAATTATAATTAGTATTGTTGACCCATGATATATCGCCAATAAACACGAATCTCGATGTATGACACAAATCTGAATGCTTTCAAAGCTAATGCATTATAAAAATATTATGGTTCACGTTCTTTGTGCACATTTTATTATTTTCTATGAAACCAAAAAATTTCTGTGAAATATTTGAAATGTCATTCATGTGTTTTTTAAAGAGTTTTGCACTAATATATATAACTTCTTTTTCAATTTAAAATTTTAATTATAATTAGTATTGTTGACCAATGATATAGCGCCAATAAACACGAACCTCGATGTATGACACAAATTTTAATATGATATTTTGAGCATGAAATATTTCAATTTCGATTAAGAATCCTCTAGAACTCTGATTCAACAAACTTATAGTCAAAATGATCGACAAGACGAACCCAATGGTACTAAATTTGGTATGATCTGAGCCAAATCAAACTAAGATCAAGCCTTTAAATCACTTTTGAAAGATTTCAGAGCATAATTGGAATGTCAAACAAATATTAAATCTGATATGCCTACAGTCAGATCGAGTGTCTTGGTAAGA